TGACATCATTAAGGTTTATCAAACCTAGATAACTTGATAGAGTGGGAAAGTCTGACAAAATCTATTGCTTAATCTGCTGGGTTTATGAGCTTGGCATGAGATATTTAGGGAACTGTTAGTGTGTAAAATGTGAAAGTGGGAATTTAAAAGTCTATTAGGTATTTCTATGCTTCTGTTGATCCAGTGCCTCTTCACTGTTATGCCTTGTAATCTGCATATATCTTAATGCATGTAATATTTATGTATATTCTATAGTTTGCATGGAGTTTAATCTGATATCTTCTGCCATTTAGATCAATCCAGTTTGGAAAAACCAGCAGAACTGCAGTTAGTTCTATGCTGGCTGTCACCCACCAACCATCATGCATTTTCTTCCTGCTTTTCAGCCAGAACAAACATTATCAATTCTTTATTTTCCCACACTGGTGCCAGCTGCAGTGCCAGAGAAACATGCAGCTCTCAAGGATAGCAAATGAGCAAATGTGTCTCCCAGGCTGGAGGCTCAGCAACAGATGATGGCTGGACAGTACTATGCTTTGGGAAGAAGTGAGACCATTGGGGTCTGCCAGCACTCTTAGTGGAGGCTGGGTAGAGGATGCAGCAAGTCCTGGCTAGAGCAATCCTGTCATCCTCTGTTCATAAGCAACTTTACCTTTGTTCTTTCAGCTCAAACAATTGCTTATGGTTTGCAAAGACATGAAAATGTTGATATGCTCTCACATGGTCAGGAAACAACCTTCTGTAGCATTAAACCTGCATTATATGGGAAAACTGTGGTTTAAACATGTCTTAAAATGGCTTTTGGTGGTCCTCTTTGCAAACACATGCTTCTTCCTCCCAGCACCCCCCATGTTACCCATGCAGGAATGTCCTGCATAGCGCCCATGTTATCCATGCAGGAATGTCCTGGGAAGGTGTCCTGAGCCTTTCCTGTGATTGGGTGTTCCTGTAAACCCCTTGAGACTTCTAATTGGTTACTCTGTGAATCCTCCTAAAACCTATAAATGTAACATCCCCAACAATAAACTCTCTCTTGCCTCCTCTCCACGCCCGATGTCCTGTGTCCTGTCTCTGTGCTGGCCATGGGGCCACGTGTGTGGGGGGGAGGGGGAGCACCTTTCCCCTCCAGGCTCAGGGCCTGAAAAGACCCCTGAGAAACCCCTGGAGTTTCCCTTTCCCCATCCCTCAAAGTGTCGCAATGGTTCTTCAGATGGAAACGGAACTAGAACTGGGCCACCCCACGCCGTGGGTGGGGAAAGGGATCCAGAACCTTCCTTATTTTACAGTTCACACACAGAGAAAGTGCTTGGAGATGGAACAAGTCACTGCAGCATAAGGCAGGTCGTGCGCTGGCAGTGCATCAGCTGCACAGGGGAAACACTGCATGCTTCTGTCTGGTGGCTGTCTGCAAAAAACAGAAGGTAGGTCTTTGCCCTGGGGAACAGGGTGCTTCTCTCTGTGCCATTATGTGGGGTCTGGAAAGCTGTCTGCAAGCTCATCTGACCATGATGGTAGTCTGAAGCCTCCCTATCCATTTCTGATGCCTTTTATTGTCCTTTTCCTATAGCTTGCTGTGATGTTACCATGATGCTTTTTACATGAACAGTACTAGTGCAAATTTTATGGTGGAAATTTCCAGCTATCAGGCTTGATCTTGATTGTTGTCTCAAATTGATATTCCAATACCTCATTTTAGTCAGCATCTATTGCTAGAGGGTTTTTTAAGAACAAACAATTATTTAGATGCAGGAATTCACTCACTTGTAGAATAATTTATCTAATAAAGATTTGGCTTGCTATTTTACATTGTTCTTCCTCATGAAGAAAGGTGTTATGACTCTGTAAAATTTACCATGTACCTACTCCCATTATAAAACACACAGCATCTGAAAGCAGGAACAAACCAATTTTCTTATTCATCTCCTTCATGGCCTTGTGTTTATTCATAGGTCTGAGATAAAGAGATAAAGACTTTCCCTTGGAATATGTTGGCTCTTTCAGCAGACCATTTTCTTTCAGCATGGCAAACAATGTACACAGAAATAAAATTGTGCATGCTTTTTATTCTGCTGGTATCTGAAGAAGCTTCTAATATTTTTTTGCCATTACTAATTCATGGCCTTTTGTTTTTTTACAAGCCCATAACAGATCCATAGTTCTCCAGCTGGAAACTGCAATTAATATTAGAATCATATCATCATAGAATATCCTGAGTTGGAAGGGAACCACTAGGATCATCAAAGTCCTGTTCCCGGCCCCACACAGAACATCTCAAGAATCACACCATGTGCCTGAGAGCATTGTCCAAGTGCTTTCTGAACTCTGTCAGGCTTGGTGCTGTGACCATTTCCCTGGGGAGCCTGTTCCAGTGCCCAACCACCCTCTGGGTGAAAACCTAAACCTCCCCTGGCACAGCTTCATGCCACTCCCTCAGGTCCTGTCACTGATCATGAGGGTGAAGAGATCAATATCTTCCCCTCCTCTTCCCCTTGTGAAGAAGTTGTAGACTGTAACGAGGTCTCTCCTCAGTCTCCTCCAGGGTGAACAGAACAAGTGACCTCAGCCACTCTTCATACGGCTTCCCCTCTAAGCCCTTCACCGTCTTTGTAACCCTCCGTTGTATGCTCTCTAATAGCTCTATGGGTTTTTTTACATTGCAGTGCCCAAAACTGCACACAATATTCAAAGTGAGGCCACACCAGCACAGAACAGAGCGGGACAATGCCTTTCCTTGACCAGCTCGCGATGCTTTGCCTGATGCCCCCATGGACATTGTTGGCCCTCCTGGCTACCAGGGCACTGCTGACTCATATTCAACTTGCCTTCAACCAGGACCCATGGGTCTGTTTCCATGGAGCTGCTCTCCAGCCTCTCATTCCCTAGTCTGTCATATCTCCAGGGTTGCCCTCCCCCAGGTGCAGAATCTGGCACTTGTCTTTGTTAAACTTCATGTGGTTAGTGATTACCCAGTCCTCTGATTTGTTGAAGTCTCTCTGTAGGGCCTCCATGCCTTCAAAGGAGTCAACAGCTCCTTCCAATTCAGTATCATCAGCAAAACTTAGTAAACCTTCAAGTCCTGAATCCAAGTTGTTTATGAAGATGTTGAAGAGAGCTGGGCCTAGAATGGAGCCCTGTGGAACCCCACAGCAGGTCACCAACCTGCTGTTACCCCACTTACTGTAATCCTTTGTGCCCTTTGTGCCATCAGCCAGTTGCTCATCCCCACATGATGTGTTTATCCAGAAGGATACTGTGAGAGACAGTACTGAAAACTTTTCTGAAATCCAAAAAGATTACATCACCTGGCTTCCCTTGATCAACTAGATGGGTTACCTCATCATAAAAGGAAATCAGGTTTGACACACTGGACCTTCCCCTCATGAACTTGTGCTGGCTCTGACCAATAACTGCATTGTCCTTCAGGTGTTTTTCAATACCTCCCAGAATAATCTTGCCCTAATTTTACCAGTCACTGAAGTGAGACTGACAGGCCTGTAGATTCCAGAGTCACCCTTCTTGCCCTTCTTGAAAATGGGTACAACATTACCCAGCTTCCAGTCAACTGAAGAATCTGGTCCAGATTCCCAAGACCATTAAAAATCATTGAGAGAAGCCTTGCAATGACATCAGCCTGCTCTTTAAGTATTCTCGGATTGATCCCATCAGGATTATTATTGTATTAGTCGTTATTAAGCCCTTCTTAGACTGTTGTCATGTTTTTGTCCCTGGCCACTAGAAATGAGTGCTGAGCTCTTAGCATTGAGGCAGGTCTAAAATCTGACATCATGGTCAGATGTGATTGGCCCTGACTGGTTAATGCCATTGGTGTTGATGCGATGTCAGACACTGGAAAATGAAGGATTCACACACACTCACTGCTGTTAACAACTCTTCAGTGGGATTTAGCTATTAAATGACTGAAACAACTCTGTCCTGCAGTGATTATTTCTCTCCTGGACCAGCATATGTGACTGTCTGAGAGCAGTTTACACTCATGGGGCCGTACAAGGATCTCATTCCAGCGTAAATTGTGTCTGCTTTGAAGTCAAGGAAATTCCATTAGCAAGGAACAAGTGTGAGATCAGAATCAAACACCAAAGACTTGTGATCTTCCTATTGCTAAGAGGCAAGTGTAGAGACTTCATTCTTCAGAGCTTGCTGCTGTGTGAGCTGACATGTTTGCTTTGCATAATTATAATTGACTACAGCCATACCCAAGAAAGGGAGTGGTGATGTTCAATGCAGGCACACACACACAAAAGCCAAGGGCTGGCGCCTGCAGAATATTGATAACGGAATAATGCTGGTTGGCAGAAGGGTGAATGTGTAGCAGCAAATCTCTGAATCTCATTCACATGCACTTTGGAGACCACTGGTGCAGCTGGTTATGGAAATGAAAAGAATTATAACTGTGACTCCTGCTTCCTTCCTCCTGAGTTTCTCTTTCAGAACAAATACTATACATGTGCCAAAGTACCTACAACAGGTAACGTGCAGAATGAAGAAAAGGTCACCTTTTCATATGTGGATTGTGAAAGAAAACATGCTGTTGTATGACAGCACATGAGGGAGGATCAAAGTCACAGAGGCAAAGCCTAAGATTTAGCACGGAAAGGTCAGGTGCAGTGCTGTCTGAACAGCCTGTTTAAAAAACAGCAGCTCTGGGATTATCAAAAGCTTTACACATCACTGAGTATCTAAGTTTGAATTCTCTGCCACCCTGTTCCAGCATGGACAGCTCCTGGCAGGTCTCCCACCTTTATGCCCAATGTGGGAAGTGGGAGCCCTTCAAGCCAAGACAGCATATTTTCTGGACATTTTGTAACTCTGCTCCAAGGATTCCTGGTTCCTGATTGCTCTTCTATTATGTTAGCTGTCCTGTCAAATGTGACAGCTGGGAGATTTGAGGGAGAGTTTAGTTCTGCCTGCCCATATTTTTTTCTCTTTTCTTCTCCCAAAAACTCCGGAAAACTAAATGCTGATCTCCTCTCTCTTTTCAGATGACCGTGACCGATGCAAACACCAGATAATGGCTTCCTCAGCTGGAACTCCTCCATCTTGGCAGAGCCATGGCTGCTCGCTGATGTTCCCCCACAGGGAGGGACCTCTCTATTTGCAGGATGTTGGTAAAGCTGTTAGAAGCACCACATGCACCTTGTTTGAACTCATCAGAAATAGTTTTTCTGTTGACGTGGGCAGTGAGTATAGATTAGATTACCCTCTAGATTGTTCCAGTGGTTTCTGGGGCTCCGGCTAAAATAGCCTGTTTCAAGATCATTTGAACATAAAGAGCTTTTTAAATATCCTTTATTTTCCTTGGTTTTGCTGAGTAGAGACTGTCCTTTAGGCTGAAACATCTATTTCTACGGTGCTCTCTTCAGGAATTAAGAATGGAGATCTATATATTATCCCAGTAATGTGATGTAGAATTGAAGTTATCCAGCTAAAATCAACTCTTTTTGAAATTAATTAATTAATTATTTATTTTTCTGAATTATGCTCTAGAGATCCTTGTATTTTCTTACTCCTAAACAAAGTAGTTGTACTGACACCCTCACCTGGTGTCCCACTGGGAGGGTATGTACCACTTCCAGTCCTGGTCCGTCCCTGGAGAGGCTGAGGAATTCATAGAATTGAGAATCATACAGTGATTTGGATTGGAATGAACTTTAAAGACCAACTCTTTCCAACCCCCATCCCATGGCAGGGACACCTTCCACTAGACCAGGTTGTCCAGAGCCCCACTCAAAATGGCCTTGAACACTTCTAGAGGTAGGACATCTATGACTTCTCTGGGCAACCTGTTTCAGTACTTCACTACCCTCACAGTAAAAAATTTCTTCCTAATTGCTAATCCAAAATGATTCTCATTTGTCCTATTACTGCATGCCGTTGTACAAAGTTCTTCTCCCACTCTCTTGCAGGCCCCTTTAATTATTGGAAGTTGCTACAGAATCTTTCCAAAGCTTTCTGTTCTCCAGGCTGAGCAGCCTCAACTCTCTCAGTCTGTCCTCATAGATGAAGTGTCCCTCAGCTCTGATCATGTTCATGGGTGTCCTCTGGACTCCTCCAATAGGTCCATGTCCTTCTTATCTTGGGGACTCCATAGCTGGATGCAGTATTCCAGGTGGGGTCACACCAGAGCAGAGTAGAGGGGAAGAATCAACTCCCTCAACCTGCTGGCCACACTTCTGATGCAGCCCAGGATACAATTGGTTTTCTGGGTTGCAAGTGCACATTGCTGGGTCATGTGGAGCTTCTCGTCAACCAGCACCCCCAGGTCCTTCTCCGCAGGCCTGCTCTCAATCCATTCTCCATGCAACATGTATTTGTGCTTGGGATTGCCCCAACCCACATGCAGGACTCTGCATGTGGTCCTTAGCGCCTGCCAAGGCTGCGGGCCACACACAAAGGGCAGCCAACAGCCAATGCCCTGCAGCTGTGGCCAGTCATGAGGCTTATGCCCTTACCATTTCACATCTTTTATAGCCAATGAGAGGCAGTGGGTTCCCTTGCTGAGAGTATAAATACTGAAGGGGCTGTAGGATAGTAACAGGAGTATATGGTGTGAAAAACAAGACTGTTAAATGCACTTGCAAATGGCACTGTGCACATTGCCCTGGCTTTGAAATGGGTGATGGAGCAGAGTGGGGCATGTGACCTAAGACCCCTGATGATCATTCAAAGACAAACACTGGCAGCTCTGCTACTGTCCTTTCTGTCACCTGACAGAGGGAAAGACAGGCAGTAGGGTGGGTCTTCTCATGGCCTGCAACGAGGGTCTCACCCATCTGACCTGGCTACATTTCTCTCATGGCTGCATGCAGCGTCTTTTATTGGGCAAAGAGCTGTTGGTATAGTGCTAAGGATCTGCTGTTACTTACTGGCCAAAGACTTTGTTTCATAGAAGCCAAAGTAAGAAAGCAGGAGCTCATATTGAGAGAGAAATTGAACAAAAATGATGGATTGTATTGAATTTGGCAGTGACTTGCAGGGTTTGTCAGGAGGAGGGATCACAGGGGTTGGCTGTAATTTTTTCAAATTGTCTTGAAGCATGGCACTGTGCAAATTATTGAAGAAAGAGGTACTGACTTATTCCTGCTGTCACCATCCTAAAATATTAGGCCACTGAATGCTCTTACTGCAACTTATGATCCTCAAATGGAGATCAAAATGCAATTTAAAAAGGTATCCAACAACAAATCAGAGGAAAGTGAAATATAGCTACCTGAGAGGCAGCTAGAGTCTTTTTGTACGCATCTCCCCACTTAGAGTCAGACAGATACCACAATCTGTGGCTCCTAGAGAAGGCGGTATGTTCATCTGTAGAACTCAGCTTTCCTTATGCAGGATTTTTCTATTTTTTTTCAAGCCACAAAGTTTCCTTTCTATGAACCTAGTGATTTGATATGCTACTGAAAGAGCTTTTGCCTTTAGCAAGTTTCCTTAGACTCAAGTGAAGGTTGTTTATCTCAGCCCAATACCACACAAAATTTTCACCCTCCCACATGCAGCCTCAGTGGCAAGAGAAGAGTTTCAGTGTGTCCTGCTTCTCCCAGTCCATCCATTTACATGGAGGTTCATGGGGTATCTCACACTACTTGTTTTTTTGACTGTGAGTCTTTCTAGCTAGTAGGAGCAACAATGACAGTAACGATGGCACTTTTCCAAACGGAACAGTATTGTAAAATTCACTATCCAAACTACTTACAGTGACACTGATTTCTTCCTAGAATTAAAATACAAAATGCTCTACAGGAATGCAGATAAAGATGGGATTTTAATGTTATCCACTATGATTTGCTGTACAGATTATAATAAACTCCTGTTCCCAGTGACTCAGGAGTAATGAAAGTTGTAGGCAGCTTTGACTGTAGTGATTATGACATTATAGAGTTTGGTATCGAATGAAGACATAGCAGGATAGTGAGGAAGTTTACAACCATGGACTTCAGGAGACCTAACTTTAGCCTCTTTAAGGGTCTTCTTGGAAAAATCCCATGGGAACAGACAGGAAGGGGTCCAAGAGAGTTGTTCAGTATTCCAGAATCACTGCCTTCAGGCTCAAGAATGATGCATCCCAGTGAGAAAACATTGGATCAGTGGGGCAAGAAACCTCCATGGACAAATAAAGGACTCCTGCCATTACTCAAGTATAAGCAGGAAATACACAGGAGGTGGAAACAGAGTCTCCATCTGGAATGAATTTAGGGAGGTGGTCAGAGTAAGCAGAAATGAGCCTAGAAAGGTCAAGTCCTGTCTATAGTTAAGTCTGGCTGAGGATGTCAAGGATAAAAAATGGCTTTTTCAAATACATCACTAACAAAAGGAAAACTAAAGATGATATGGGCCCATTAGTAAACAGAGAGGTGATCCTGGTAACAGAGGACTCAGAGAAGGCAGAGTTACTGAGCACCTTCTTTACATCAGTCTTTACTGACAGCATCAGCCCTAAGGAATTCCTTACCTAGGAGACTAGGGTAAATGAATGCTGAAGGGAAGAATTTCCCTTGGTCAAGGAAAATAGGTTAGAGAGCACCTAGGCAAACTTAATGTCCACAAGTCCATGGGCCCTGATGGGATGAACTCATTTGATTCTGTGTTAGTGATGTTATTCCTCAGTCCTGTGTGTTATTTTTTATAAAGGGACACGCTTGTAAGGGGCAACAGCAGTTTTTCACAAAAGATTTCCTTATTTGGACGCAGTTATTCTGCTGAAACTCCTATAAATAAGGTTCCAACCATTAAGTAGTATTACTAATGTACTTGAAAGTTTTCACTGCAAATTGCCATTCTAAACTCTTAAATGTGAGCCTAAGTGACCAACCTGGGAAACTGCTAAGCAATCAGCAACTCACATGGGATAAGAGTAGATCACATGGGTTGCTGTAATTCCAGTTGCAGTCCTGGCGCAACAGTACCATCTGGAAAACACACAAAGCTAAACTACTAGCAGCTTTTCCATTTTGTGTCAGTATTTGGAGAAATTCAGTAAGGCCATCATCCTTGTGGTACTGGAAGTGACAATGTTTCCATCTGGGGTGAGGGGATAGGCTTGTAAGAAGCAATGACTCCCCAGTTGCAGTGACATTTAGCTATCCCCCAAATCAAGTGACTAATACTATTTGAAAGCCAATTTACAGGTCAGCATTCCATGGTAATGCTTTATGTACATGAAAAAGTGAGACATGGGTGTGTTTTCCTTTGTTCTATTAATAAACATTGAATAGCTTTGAATTAAACATTTCCTCATACTGTGAACAATACCATGAAGAAGCTATGCTGTTGGCCAACCTTACACATCAAAGTGAAGGTGTCTTACCTTAATTAGCACGTAAAACAGACAACAGGTGACGAGATGCTGCCTGCTTTGAAGATAATGACTGAAAATCATAGCTCTTTGTGTCAAGCCAACGCCCTTCACTTTACTTCCTTATGACTCTGGTTGAGATGACAAAAGGGAAGGGTAGGAGCCTTTTACTCTGACATCTAACACTGAAGAGTGTCCCATCACCTGCCTCTGGAAGCTGAGGAGGGTGCTCTGTGATTAGTATAGAAACTACAAGGAGGCAAGTTCATGTCCTACCTTAGGCTTTAGATTGCTCTAAAGGCATAAGATGTTTGTTTACCCAAGGGAGAAACACTGAGTCCTTTTATGTTTCATGATAGAATGCTATTCTATACTATCTTATGAACACAGAACTTAACTGAAAAGTAGTTTTGATCAATTATACCCACAGGGAGAGTTTTTAAAAATAGCTGAACAAAGCTGACCCTCTACATCCAATTTTCCGAAGAATTAACTATAGATAATGAGTCATGAACATCATTGCCAGGATTAGACAGTGATTGTAAAAGAAGTGATTATTGATTCAAAGTGAGTTAACCCTGGAAATCCCATGCCCATTATTTACTTTGGATTTAATTTATTTCACATCCAAAAAAGTGTAATCAAAACTCTTCCTACTCTTTGTAGTTTTCTGCAAGACTCTTATAACTAGCAGGTAAAAACTGCATCTTCCAAGCAGGCTCACACACAACTGAACTAGCATAATTGCTAAGGTTAACACATTTCAATGATTAGTAGAAGTTATCTTCAAAGGGTAAGCAAGGAGAAGGATTGTCTTAAGGCACTGAACAGCATTTTCACTGAAGTAGGACTTGAATGGTCAAATTTGAAAAACAACCACGAATATTAATTCTAAGTATATACTTTACAGAATAAATAAAAATGAATGTCTCAGATTTGTGTTTTCA